TCAACCACTGAGCCACATCCCCAGCCCCTTTATGTATTTTATTTAGGGACAGGGTCTCACTGAATTGCTTAGCTCCTTGTGAGAAACTGATGTGACTTAATTTTTGAAAATAAATAAATAACAGTAGCTTCTACCTCAAGGCCTGTCCTAAGGAAGGGGGTGTAACCCTTGTCCTTAGAAAAAGAGCACTCCTAAGCACATACCCACCCTGCTGAGTTGTCTACAAATAACAGGAGAGATATGCAGCGCCAGGTGTCCCTGACTCAGTTAGGCTAGGTGAGGACCCATAGCAACCCCCTAGCAACCACCAATCAGCATGAGACAGGGAAAATACCTGGGATGCCAGATGACCCCCCCCAGTAGTTTATAGTGGTTGATAACATGTTGGGAAACCATGTAGTTCAGCATGTACACCCCTTGTGGCTTAAACCAATCAGTTCAAACGAATCCCCCTCTTGTACTAACCAATCACCCCTACCCAACTTGTTCCCGCCATTGAATGTGCTAATAATGTTAAGACTTGTTGTTTGGGGGTGGGATTGTGGCTCAGSGATAGAGTGCTCGCCTAGCACAGGCGGGACCCAGGTTCGATCCTCAGCACAACATAAAAATAAAGGCAATTGTATTGTGTCCATCTACACCTAAAAAAATAATACTAAAAAAAAAAAGACTTGTTGTTTGACTTTCCCACGGACCGCTGCGTCGGGAACGGTTGTGAGTCCAGGCTGGAGCTTGCAATAAATAAATCTTGTGTGATTGCATCGGATTTGGCTCCTGGAGGTCTACTGAAGTCCCGCGAATCTGGCATTACACTTGCTGTTGCTGAGGCTGGCTTTGAACTTGTGATCCTCCTGCCTCAACCTCCCGAGCCACTGGGATTTATAACCCTTAAATATTGTCATTATTACTATTGCCTTTTCTAGATATCTTCCTCCAGGTTGCTATTCTTGCTTTAATACTTCTTGGTCATAGAGCATTTATGAATTTATTGGGTTACCTTGGAATCGAACCTCTATTTTTTGAACTAAGGTGTGGAACTCAGGATTACCAGAGGTTCTTTGTCACAGAGTCATGGAATCTCTAGAGCCAAGGTGATCTGTTCGTATCAAACGGGGCACTACCACATGTTCACTTCTGGGACTGGGCTCGCATGTTGAGATCTGGATGCGAGGACGTGGACCATGAAGCCCAGGGAATCCTGTTTCCTCTCTTTGCTGAGACCCACTCACGAGAGGAAGYGGAGGCAGCAGTATCAATGATAACTAGTCGTGGTGCTGAAGCCATTTATTTTTCAACTCAGTAGAGACTACAGCACACTGTCATCATTTTGTTTTAATTTTTGCCACAGTTTGGATCCATAGACTATGGCACAGGTCTACAATATGGTGATTGTGAAGAGAAAATAGTTGGTATAGTAGTCAACTGTGGTCTCRTAGTAAATGTAAAACTCCAGAAATATATAACTCACAAACATATCRCATGCCATTCTGAGTAGCATGAYGACATCTCCTGCTGCCCTGTCTTTTCCACCCAAGAGGTGGATCATCCCTTTGTCCAGCGTGTCTACGCAGTAGGCACTACTCTCCTRTTAACTTAGCTGTCTCCAGTTTTAGATGAACTGGTGCAGTATCTTAATGTTTGTTCAGGTAACCCTTATCTTACTTAATAATAGTGCCAACAGCTACAGAGTACATAGTCTTCTGATCACCATTTGGAATGTTCTCATAGGTTAGGCTACAAATTAAGTATTAACAAATTTAAGAAGATTGAAATCATATCCTGTTRTCTTTGCTGACAATAATGGTACAAATTAGACATCAATGACAGTGGAAACTTTGGAAAATTCTCAAATACATGAAAATTAAATAACGTGTTCCTGAACCACCAAGGGGTCAATGAAGAAATTAGAAGACCAATGAAGATTTCTTGAGGCAAATGAAAATGGAAACAAAATATGCCAAAGCCTGTAGGATATAGCAAAACAGGACTAAGGGGGACGTCTACAGCAATCGGTGCCTACATCAAAAAAGAACAGCCAGGCGAGGGTGCCGTGGCACAGGCCTATAAACCCAGCGGCTCAGGAGGCTGAGGCAGGAGGATCGCAAGTTCAAAGCCAGCCTCAGCAACTTAGTGAGACTCTGCCTCAAAATACAAAGGTCTGGGGATGTGGCTCAGTGGTAAAGTGCTTCTGGGTTCAACCCTGGGTACAAAAAAAAAAAAAAAGAAAAAGAAAAAGAAAAAAAGAAAGAAGAAGAAAGATCTCAAATAAGAACCTGAAATTATGCCTTTGGGAAGAGAAAAACAAGAACAATAAACAAATAACTAAAGCCAAATTASTAGAAGGAAAGAAATAGCAAAGATCAGAGCAGAAATAAATGAAACAAAATAAGAGCAACAGAAAAGATCAATGAAACCAAGAGTTGCATGATCTCACTCTCATGTGAAATCTAAAAATTGGATCCCACAGAAGTAGTGAGTGAGATGGTGGTTACTGGGGGCTGACATGGCAGGGAGGGAGTGTGAAGGAGATGTTGGTCAAAAGTTGAAAAAATTTTGGTGAGACAGGAGGAGTGAGTTCAAAAGATCTGTGGTACCACTTGATGACTGTCGATAATAATGTATTCCATCTATCTATTTACTTTTTGGTACCCTGGATYGAACCCAGGAGTCCTTACCCACTGAGGTTGTTAATTCTTGAAAAATGTATTCTTGAAAAATGCTGAGGGAGGATGCAAAGTGTTCTCACGACAGAAAAGTGTGTGTGCTAATGTATATGTTAACTAGCCAGAGTTAGCCATTCTCCAATGAATACGTACCTCAAAATATTCTATGGTGCACAGAAATACATAAATTTCACTTGACAACTTAAAAATAAATTAATAACCCCCCCAAACCCCATAAGAGATAAAACGTACTGGAGAGGATGTCAAGAAATGAGAACTCCGTGGCTGGGCCTGGTGACGCACGCCTGTAATCCCAGTGGCTTGGAAGGCTGAGGTAGGAGGATCATGAGTTTAAACCCAGCCTTAGCAACTTAGTGAGGCTCTAAGCAACTTAGCAATACCCTGTCTTTAAATAAAATATAAAAAGGGCTGGGAATGTGGCTCTGTGGTTAATAGCTCCTGGGTTCAATTCTCAGTGCCAAAAAAAAAAAAGGAAATTAGAACTCCTATATACTGTTGGTGGGATAGTAAAATGGTGCACTTTGTACAGAAAACAGTATGGCATTTGCTCAAAAAATTCAAGATAGATATTGTGTGCATGTATGAATATGTAACAACAAACCCCATAATTATGTACAATTATAATGCACTAATAAAAAATATAGAAAGAGAAAAAAAAAACTGTAACGCTCCCCCTCCATATTGGTGAGGATGTGAAATAACTGAGACTCTAATACACTGCTAATGAGAATATAATACAATACAAGAGTTTAAAAAAACTAGAAATAGGACTACTATATGATATTATCTGGCAATTTCAATTCTGGGTATACATACAAAGGKAGTTAAACCAGGATCTCAAAGAAACACTCCTGTTCCTGTGTTTATGACAACGTTGTTCAACTAGTCAAAATATGGAAACGACTTGAGTGGTCATCGGCAGATGAATGATAAAGGAAACATGGCCTATGCATACCATGCTTTAAAAAAAGAGGCAAATCTTGCTATTTGCAAATCTTGAGGACATTTTGTAAGTGAAATAAGCCAGTCACAGAAGGATAAGTACTGCATGGTTCCGCCTACGTGGGTTACCTCTAATAGTTGAGCCTCATTAGAAACAGAGTATTCATGATTGCCAGGGTTGGGGAGTGGAGGAAATGAGGAGTTATTCAAGGGGTCTCAGGTTTCAGTTATGCTAGATGAATAACTTTTAGTGATCTGTAGCACAACATAGTGCCTGTGCTTAATAATAAGGTATTGTGTGCTCTTCTTCACAGAAGAGGGTAGATCTCAGGTTAGATGATCACTGCTGTTGGGTTAAACACTGATCAGTGCCTGGGAAAGCCAGAGAGAGAAGGACTCTAAGGAATGTGATAATGAAAAAAAGAATGGAGTTTTGGCTTYCCTTATCTTCAGTCTTTCTTTTTTTCTTTGTACCAGGGATTATGTCCAGGGGAGCTCAAACCCTGAGCCACGTCTCCAGCCCATTTTTTATTTTGTATTTTGAGACAGGGTCTCACTAAGTTGCTGAAGCTGGCGTTGAACTTGCCATCCTCTTGCCTCAGCCTCCCAAGCCTCTGAGATGACAAGTTGCRCCACCCATGCCCAATTGCTTTTCTCGAGTCTTCAGGAGAGGATGTAAACAGAGCAATACTGATTGTAAAATAAGGGAATGTGCTCATAAAAACATCTGAGGAAATCCACCGGCGCAGGGCAGGCACCCTCTGCAGTATATTGTCCCTGCTRGAAGGTGTGGGTGGCCCTCCAGTATATCCTGGACTGCTGCCTCCAAGGAGTGGGTGAGTAATAAAATGTCTGAAACCTCTCTGTTGATTCTGTCCAGTTCTTTCTTTGGGATCATTAATAGTACATTGTGGCATTGGCAGCCCCCGGGTTTGGTGACTATGAAAACAATCACACAAGCCACCCCTCCAAATGAAAACCACACTAAGTAGGGGCACAAGTAAACTTTGGGATGTGTGTCAGGGATACAGACGTCCCAACTTATCCAGATGTGTAGTTCTTTGTGCATCAGTTATGATTACAGGAGGTTTGACCTGGGCCAAACCTGGTTCTATATGTAACCATTCAAGTGCTTGCTTCTTCCTGGTCATGTAAACTTCAGATTCCATCCTTTTCCTGCTCTCCCGCCCCTCTGAGGCTCCTGTGAGAATGATAACATTCCTGAAGCTATTGGTGCGTACACAGTGTTTATTGAATGACTGACGACAGAGGAAGCAGTTATACATGTTATTTTATAGATTGTGGAAATAGACAAGAACTTGATGTGTTAGGGGAATCTGCTTCCTCCATCCCCGGGGGTGCTATGGGTAGGGTCTAGGGTGGTTCTGGTAGAGGAGAGACATCAACAGACCCTATGGTTTGCTGAGTCTCTCTCTCAGTAGGGGTAGCAGTGTGAATGGTGTATCCTGTGGGGAGCACAGGGGTGGTACTGGAGACGATGACAGAGTTGTTATTGGGGAAAAYGATGGTGCTTTCGATATCCAGGGGAACTGATAGAATATATTTGYTTTGTTTTACCTTAGGATCTATGTGACCAATGAGCATCGTTTCGTTTTCTATCTCAGGTATATGGGGTATTTCGTGGCGCAGGTACATGGTTATCAGTTTGATCACTTTGGGGCCAATGCAACATTTTTTCTTCTTGCATTTCTGAACTTCTTTTTCATCTTCGTTGCAGGAGCTCTTGCATTTTCCAAAACCCATTAAGCATTTTGGCGTATTCCAAAGTTCTGCACAAGGAAGAGAGAAAACCATGCAGCCAAGGTTAATGAGTAGAGATGCTGTTCAAACCGCTGGAAGGAGATGGATAGAGCCAGAGGGAGTTTGTTGGCTTTAAGTGTAGAGTTTAGGGATGTTGGTGGAGTCACCTGGGTAGGCCAAGAGAATCTCTGTCCACCTCTGGAATCCAAAATAAACCTCTGATTTAGTCTCTCTTCCTTGAGTAACTTTATTTATTTTTTTGTACCCAGGATTGAACCCAGGGGCACTTTACCACTGAGCCACATCCYCAGCCCTTTGTATTTTGGGACAGGGTCTCACTAAATCTCTGAGGCTGGCTTTGAACTTGTGATCCTCCCACCTCAGCATCCTGAGCCGMTGGGATTATAAGTATGCACCACCATGCCTGTATCCTTGAGTAACTTTAAAAAAAGGGGAAAGAAGAAGAGGGAGCCCAAGTATTTGCTTTTACAATAGCAATTTTAACCTCCAACTTAGCATCTTAGGCACTGTGCAGCCCCTYTATGAAATACCAAGGAAAGTAAAATCTGTCATAAAACTAATCTAAGAAAGGATTTTTAAAGTTAAAAAAATATTTCTGATTAACATGTATTAATTGTCTGTATGAATGGGGTTCGGTGTAATATCTCAATACACGCAAACAGCGTCCTCTGATCAAACCCAGCCTYCCTTTATTCCACCTCCTTCCCTTCCCAATCTCCAGTAATCACTGTTCTATATTCAGGTGGGTTTTTTTATTTTTTGATTTCCACACGTGAGAGAGAACATGTGGTACTCGTCTTTCTGTGTGGCCCTAAGTAAGAAGGAAATCCTGTCATTTCCAGTAAAACGGATGGAGACTGGAGGATGTTGTGTCAGATGAACTAAACCAAGCAAAGAATTCAAAAAGATCATCAACAGGACTTTCAGGAATGCTGTCTTCTGGCTGGGTGTGGTGACATATACTTGTAATCCCAGGGGCTTAGGAGACCAAGACAGGAAGATTGCAAGTTCAAGGCTAGCCTCAGAAACTTGGTGAGGCCCTAAGCAACATAGTGAGATCACCCTGTCTCAGAATAAAAAATAAAAAAGGCTGGGAACATGGCTCAAGAAATGCCCCTCTGGGGGATGGGGTTGTGGCTCAGCGGTAGAGCGCTGGCTTTGCAAGTGCGAGGCCCTGGGTTCAATCCCCAGCACCACATATAAATAAATCAAATAAAGTTATATATCTAAAAAAGAAATGCCCCTCTGCCTTTGACAATCACCAGATCCGTGGGTCCTGGGGCATGGGGTCCTATCATTTCAGCCTCTCTGAACACTGTCCCTTGGAGGTTTCACTCATTATCGAGCCTGGCCCTCCTCTCCATAGGACTCCAGTGTTGTTATCTGTGGTTTAAATCTCCACTAAGCTCACTCATGCATCTTCACCTGATAGATGATTGTGGCATCCCAACTTCTCATCAAGATAGCTTTCCTCTCTTCCTTCACTCGTTTTACCAATCCAACAAATTTTACATACATTGGAAATAGTTTATTTAGCCTCAGATAATGTCCAAGGGATGTTCTCACACATTTCCTCCTCATTCTCTCACCAAGTGCAAAACCAAAACAGTTCTTGGATTGGAAGCAACTGCGTTGATGAACCCATACTCATGTGGATTTGGAAGCTCAAAGTGGCCAAGTCACTTCATCCGGGATGACATGGCTGTATCTGTCTGTGGTGCTATCCTTCCCCCTGAGTCCCCGAATACAAACTCTGGGAACGTCTTTGGCTCTGATGCTCTCCTTCCCTGACTCACTGTGAGCTGTATTCTGAAACAAGTCGCGGTGCTTTTTCAAAAACAACATTCAATCTTCTGGTTCAGTCTTTTGCCCATAATGGGTTTCTCCATGTCCTAGGGATGCTTTGGGTATTTCCAAAGGCTGAGAGAAGGGATAAGACTCTAAAAACCTGAACGTGTTGAGATGGAGAACACAGACCCATTTCTAAATCTAAAGGAGACATTTTGGAGCCCAAAGGAAAGGGCTTCTTCCTTCCAGCACCAAGGTACAAACTGGAACATTTTCTTCAAGAGAGAGTTTAAATTAGAAATAGAGCTGGATTGAGGTAGAGTCGGAGGGTGAGGATCTACAGAGGGCAGGAAGGCAGCGTTATAGATTGCAGTTTCCAAATACACCGGGAACACCCCACTTTCCCTGTAGCTCCCTGGTGTCTCCATCAGACACAGTCTGAGGTTGAGGCACCTGGATGGAGATGGGGCATGGCTGGGGCTGCAGGTCAGCTCTTTGGCCATCTCTTTGGGGACATCATCATTCAGCATCTCTTTGGGTTCTACCATCGTAAGCAGCCAAACCCCTGCTTCTGCTCACCCACTCCTCTTAAACCCAGGTGCCAACATTACCTGTATTCACCTGGTACTGTAGCATGAGGCTGGCAAAGATAGGAAAGAGGAGCTTCATGGCCGGATGCCAGAGAGGAAGGCTTAGGTCTGGGTTGGTGTTCCCAAGCTCCAGCCTTTATGGGCCTCCGCGTGGCCTTGGGCCATGAGCATTGAAGCGTAGCCAAGGCAGGTGTGCCTGCTGCTTGTGGTAGTTGTGTTTTGTCTGGACTCTGATACATTTTTCCTGAACATCTCTCTACATTCCTGTGCTTCATCCCGGGGGAGGGGGTGAGGGTACGACACAGATATCTAAGACAGGAGACAAAGAGCAAACTCTCTGCTCTTCTCCTTCTTCATGTTGGAACCGGGCAAGAGGTATATTTGATTCGGCTCAGTTATGGCTCAGGCCCGCAGGGTGTGGAAATCCTAAGAGCTGGGAGAGGCCAGAGAAGGGTTTGCTCGGTCATCTCCAGTGGCCAGTATGGGTCCCGGTCAACAGACAAACTCAGTGCAAGTTGGTTGAGTAAGTTTTTGGGAGGCAGCCCTGACTTTAGCTTTTGAGGTTACGATGATTTCCACTTCCCCAGGAAGCAGCAGTTATATAGGATGCTGTCCCTGATTCCTGGGTTGAACGATCTAAGGAGAATAGTAGAATCAGGCCCACCAATCAGGTGCTTTCCTCTGTTAATTTTTAACTTTTTTTTTCTATGAAATTCAGATAATGAATTGACTCCAAATGTCATTAATTGCTTAAGTCCCAATAGCTCCAGTCCCAAGTCCCAAGGTGGTTCCTCACCTTAAAAGTTCCAATCTCCCTAGGACTTCATGAGCTATCGTAGCATCTTTCCAAAAATTCTTTTGTTTAAGCTACACTTAAAAAAAAAAAAAAATATATATATATATATATATATATATATATATATATATATANTAAAAAAAAAAAAAATATATATATATATATATATATATATATATATATATATATATATATATGTATTCCTAAGCCTTTGATCCATTTTGAGTTTATTTTTGTGCAGGGTGAGAAATAAAGGTCTAGTTTCATTCTTCTCTATGTGATTTTTCCTGGCACCGTTTGTTAAAAAGGCTGTCTTTTCTCCAATGTATATTTTTGGCACTTTTGTCAAGGATCAGATGGCTGTAAATGTGTCTCTGTGTCTTCTATTCTGTATCATTGTCTGTGTGTCTGTTTTTATGTCAGTACCCTGCAGTTTTGTTATTATAGCTCTGTAGTATAATTTAAAGTCAGGTATTGCGATGCCTTCAGCAGTGCTTTTTTTTTTTTTTTTTTTCTCAGAATTGCTTTGTCTATGCTAGCTCTTTTATTATTCCAAATGAATTTTAGGACTGTTTTTTCTAGTTCTGTGAAGAATGTCATTGCTATTTTGATGGGGATTGTGTTGAATCTGTATATTGCTTTGGCCATTTTAACTATATCAATTCTACCTATTCATGAACACGGGAGGTCTTTCCATCTTCTGAGGTCTTCTTCAATTTCTTTCTTCAATGTTCTGTAGTTTTCATTGTAGAAATCGTTCACCTCCTTGGTTAGATTTATTCATATATTTTTTTTTGAAACTATTGTGAATGGGATAGCTCAATTACCAGTACCCAACCCCAGAAATGTCTACATTATGAAATGGCTAAGTTGAGCTAATTCACATGCATTCCTTCACAAATTTATGAGTTTTTGTGGGAGAACACAAAATCTACTCTTAGTGATTTTCAAGAATATATTATGTAGTTATTAATGATAGTCACCATGTTGTACAATAGACCTTTTGAAATGAAATTTTGTAACCTCTAATGGRCATTCCCCCAGGCTCCTACTCCAGCCCCTGGTCATCCCTATTCTATTCTCTGCTTCTATGAATCTCAACATTTTTAGATGCCACATGTATCTGAGATAATTTGGCATTTCTCTTTCTGCAGCTGGCTCATGGCACTTAACCTAAGTTTTCTGGGTTCATCCCCCTTGTATTGATTTATTTTTATAAATAAATAAATAAATATTTATATATATTAAATAAAGTAAATACATATTATGTATATTTATATATTATATATTTATATACTAAATAAATAAATTATATTTATATACATAAATATGAATTTATACATTTTATAAATATTCCACATTGCCCGAACATGTGTTCTGCAGTTGTGAGGAACATTGTTTCGACTGGACTATTAGCATAAATTTTTTAATATTTTCTACCCTATTTACTTTTGCCTGCCTGATATATCAGTTATGGAGCCAATTGTGTTTGTTAATACTTCCTGTTATCATGATCTGATCTATTTTTCCCAATATTTCTGTCAATTTTTGCTCTAGATAGTTTAAAGTATGTAATTAAGTCACACATTTTATAATGATTACATTTTCCTTGTCAACTGATGTGTTTACAATGTATGATAAGAATTTCTTTATATCTGGTATTTTGACCAAAATATTTTAATATAGCTGTAACAACTTTCTTTTAGTTATTAMATGGCCTTAAAATACATTTTCATTTCCTTCAATCTGCTTTAAACTTGTTTTCAATATGTCTGCATTAAAAACTATGGAGCCAGGTTTTAGAATATGATATTCAACGGTTTTAGTATTTTAATTGTATTATCTATTTGTATTTATAGTTATAACTTCCATACTTGAAGTTATCTCTATTATTTACTTATTTTTTWAAAATATATTTTTGGTTGTAGAGGGTCACAATACTTTTGTTTATTTATTTTTTAAATTTATTTTATGTGGCGCTGTGGATCAAACCCAGTGCTTCACATGTGCGAAGCAAGTACTCCCACCATTATTATTATTTAGAGAGCCCCAGCCCTTTATTATTTACTTTGTTTTTTTCTATTTATTCCACTTTAAATATTTATTTATTTATTTAATATTTATTTATTTTCTTGATTTCTTTTTCTTTTTCTTTTTTTTTTTTTTTTTGGATACTGGGGATTGAACTCAGGGGCATTTGGCCACTGAGCCGCGTCCCAGCTCTATTTTGTATTTTATTTAGAGACAGGGTCCACAATGTTGCTTAGCGTCTCGCTTTTGCTGAATCTGAGGTCTAACTGGCTTTGTCTGCTCAGGAATTCTTTGAGCCTGGTTTCCTCTTTAATTTATTTAACATTAAAAAGACATTTGCTCAAGGGATTCAATAAAAATTTTCAGTAATTTTTTGGCTTTATTAAGAATATTTGTAAATAAAAGTGGCATTTTTTCTTTCCACATTTTTAATGAGTGATTTCTAGTTGACATGATGATGGGATTTGTTATTAGGTATTCACACCCGCACATCATACAACAGCACAGTGTGGCCAACGTCACTCCCCAGCACCTGCCCCCGACGCCCCTCCTCCCGACGCCCCTCCTCCCAGCCTGTGATCCCTTCCCTCTGTTTCACTGATCTCCCTTTGATTTTCATTAGAACCCCACCCGCACATCATTTTTTTTTCTGTTTCTCTCTAGCGTCCACGTATTTCACTTAACAAAACAGTCTCAAGTTCCCCCCATTTCCCGCAAATGACATAATTTTATTTTTCTTTATGATCAACTGAATAAAGATCCATTGTGTCTGTGTACCCCATTCTCTTTATCCGTTCATCCATTGACGACACTAGGCTGGTGTCCTAGTTTGGGTATTGTGAATTGTGGCAGCTATAAACCTGGCTCTGCATGTATCACTGTAGTATGAAGACTTTAATTCTTTAGAATAAATACCGAGGAGAGATATGGCTGGGTCATATGGTGGTTCCATGCTTAGTCTTTTGGAGAAACGTCACACTGATTTCCACATTGGTTGTACTAACATACAATCCCAATAATAGTGTAAAACTGTTCCTAAAGGTGGCGTTTTTGAGATGTTGTGCTGCTTGTTGATGAAGAATCCTACTTCTGGTTACAAATCTGCTCTGTTGCTTTGATTCAAAGTGCTTTTTTTTTTTTTTTTTTGATGTTTTTGCATGTCAGAGCCAATGTCAATTTGTGAAAAGGCAAAAGATTATTGTTATGAAAGTAGTTATTATTAGTTACAACAACAACACTGTTATGAAATTAGTTACAAACTTGCAGACCTCTTGGGGCTACCACTGGATGAGCATTGCTTTCCTCTGGGTCCTGGGGATTGAACCCAGGGGTGCTCTGAGCTACACTCCCAAWCTTTTTTATTTTTTTATTTGAGACAGGGTCTGGCTCAGTTGCCCTAGCTGACCTGGGCTTATGATCCTCCTGCCTCAGCCTCCTGAGTGGCTGTTTTGCCAGTGTCCCCGGCTGGATGATCACATTCAACACACAGGTGTCTTGTAGAGATTAGAGCTCCAAGAAGGGTTTCAAGTGGCAGCTGAAAGAGTTGAGTAGAATTGCCTTTGGGGGCCACTACTCTGTCTGCAATGTGGAAGCTGCAGCCAAGGGTTCAAGTGGAGCTGAGAAGAGTGAGTACAGAACATGATAAACAGTTCTGCGGAAAGCAGAAGGGGGGAATCATAGAAATTTGGTTTGGTCTACCTTTTTTTTAAAAAATTTTTTTTAGTTGTAGTTGGTACTATTTATTTATTTATTTTTATGCGGTGCTGAGGATTGAACCCAGTACCTCACACATGCAAGGCAAGTGCTCTACCACTGAGCTACAGTCCCAAACCCTTGGTCTACCTTTAATACCCTTGTTTCCATTTCCTTGCACAAGTGAACCCCTATCTGCGTCTCAAGTCCCTGGTTAATTGTAACTGTCAAATAGAATCTCAGAAGCCTGGTCTACTGTTGATCCTTTTTAAGCTCCTACTCATTCCATCCCTTCACCAGATATTTATTGAGCATCTAGGATGTGCTGAAAACGACTGTAGGGGCTGGTAATACAATAGTCTATGCCACAGAAAGTACAAGTCCCTGCCATCATGGGGCTTACATTCAAATAATGATAAAATGAGATTTTATTCTTGTCCTTTTTTTGTGTGTGTATGTGGGGGTACCAGGGATTGAACTCAGGGGTGCTCGACCACTGAGCCATATCCCCAGCTCTATTTTGTATTTTATTTAGAAACAGGGTCTCACCGAGTTGCTTA